GTAATGATTCAACAGTAAACCTAAAAATTTACAGCCAATTTTGAAAGAGGTGTATCTTAGTTCAGGAAATTTTTATTTAATATGTCAATGCTGTTGTAATGAAATGCTTCTTCTAAGTATGTGGTTATTAAATTATTTTTTAAAAAGTAAAAAAAAAATTGGAATGCTTCCCTAATTTGCATGTCATCCTTGCCCAGGGGACATGCTAATATTCTCTGTATTCTAAGTTTAATATATGAGCACTGAAACAGTACACTTTATGGAGAGGAAGGGCTCAGTGGCACACGCCTTTAATCCAGCACTAGGGAGGCAGAGGCAGGCAGATCTTTGTGAGATGGAGGTTAGCTTGGTCTACATAGTAGCTCCAGACCAGCTGTGGCTACAGGGAGGCCCTGGGAGGGGTGGTGGGGGTGTAGCTTTTGGAGCTGGAAATACTACTCAGAAGGTGAGAGGAATCAACAGATGGGTGATAGGTGATGCTTTGACATGGACATTCACAATTGGCAGGCATTAGGATAAACATTGCGGAACTGGTAAAAGAAAGGAGCCAGGGGCTCCTCCCAAGCCCATGTGACCCCTGAGGAACAGATCCTCAAACGACCTTAAGAGTAAAAATAAATTTATCTGGGCCAACTGTATGGCCTTAAACACCCAAAAGGAAAGTATAACCAAAGATTAAGGGGGCCAATATAACTTCTTAAGAGTCCATATGCATAGCTAAAGGCTATATAACAAGCATCAATGCCAGATAGGAGATACCTTCTTTTGAGTTGTTGGTCAATGTAGCCAAGGGAACGCCCAGATAGTAACCCAGCATAGAACTGGGAAAATGAACCGCAGACCCCAATCTTATCCAAAGGAATATTGACAACTGATTGCTGCTAGAATAGGAACAGCTGACCTTCCTAAAACAAAGACCTCTAGATAGACTGACTAGATTCACCAGATGGAGAAACAGTGGGGAGCGGCAGGGGGTGCTGACAACACAGCAGACAGTAGCAAGGATAGCAGAGTATAAGGGCTCTAGTGGGCGGAGGGAGGCTATGGGAGGGTGCCATCTGGGAAGTGGGTGTATAGTTGAATAAGATATTTTGGGATGTTTTGTGTGAAATACACACACAAAAAAAAAAATCAACAAATTTAAAAAAGGTATTATATTTGAGGAGAAAGCATGGAAATTTACATCATGTTAATTAGTAGAGGTGATAAACATTACCATTGAAATCTAGACTTTATAGCCATACACAGGTGCCAAGGATCTGAGTGCAACCAAGTATGACTAGTAATAATCAGACAAATATAG